AACACTAAGCAAAAGTAAATTAAAATTAAATATATAATAATATATAAAACCTAATGTAATACAATATCTTTGCAGCCTACACAACCTCAAGTTGACGCTTCCCATCATCGGGACGACTCAACAAGAAGGAGCCGAACATTTTACCTTAAATGTTTTAAACTTTTAAATATTTTAACATTGACGGCTCAATTTGAGGGCAATTTTCAGATGGAATGCAAGATTTGTACGTGCATTCAATGCTACTAGAAAGTGTTGTGCTTTTACACTCCGACATCTGTAACAGCGTCCACGCAGTTTACATACTGTGTACGTTAAGCAGCGCCAGTGTTTTCATGTGTTTGTAATGTGTGCCTCTGATGATGGTTTCTCTTGAACCGAAACATGTAAGGCAAGTGAGATAAATAAGTGACCTAAAAACATTGTTACACTCGACGGATTTTTCATTGACAATTTATGATTGATAGTGTAACGGACCAAAATGAAACAATTCAAAATGATGTTACGTACATTATTAACATTACAGAAACCACATAATCCTTCCAGTTTTAATATGTATTTGGTAATTAACAAGTGTGTAACACCTCTCAAAGTTTCACACTTCTCTGGCCATTATCTCCGTAACCGTTCAACTTTGGACATAGGTGTTTTGGGTTATATCGGCATACTTTAACATAAGAAACACCCTCCTGAAGTCTGGCACATTCCTCCTGGGACACCCTGTATATCTTCTTTGTTGGGTGGTTATTATTCATATCTGGCAGACTATTAGATCAAGTACTACTGTAAACAAAGTACTGAATACAAATCCCACAATAATGCCATATTATTCTACATTTTACATAACCATTTAAGGAATAAGCGTCTATAATACAGTAAAACATTGCAAAAGGAAAACTCTCCTGGTGCACTTACAGTGTACAGACTCAATTTAAATCAAGTGGTGTGACAATGTCATGGTACAGTAAAATTGAAAGGCACAACTAAGACAGGAATAGAAGTAGCGCACTTTCCACAGTTCTAACACTTCTAATGACAGAACCCTACACTAAATGACACCGATGTTATTCACGCTTCACGGAGCCATTGTACTGACAACATTGACAGCAGGGGACTAAGATGTATGAACATAAGATTGTTAAAATAAACATAAACTTACCTTTCGAGTCTGGAAAAGAGAAGTGACAACTGACACTGTAGTCAAGAATACAATGCAACCCGCATAGTAGAAATAATCATCAAGGGACCATAATATCACACTGAATACTTGAAATATATAGAATGGATTGAACACCTCCTCAATAAACAGTCGCCCGTAAGATTTCACATTGATTGTGATCACATTTTCTCCATATAACTGGATCCTGAAAATCCAATAACACTTAAACATATTCTGTTCTGGTATATACAGGGTGTCCCGGGAGGAATGTGCCAGACTTCGGGAGGGTGTTCCTTATGTTAAAGTAGCACATAAGCTTACGGCTAGTGTGAATCACCACACTCAAGGACAAACATAGATAAGACATCTCAGCTGACAGGTACAGTACGTGGACCCCCCAGAAGACCACACTTTTCTGGGGCCATTATCTCCGTAACCGTTCAACTTTGGACATATGTGTTTTGGGTTATATCGGCATAAGGAACACCCTCCCGAAGTTTGGCACATTCCTCCTGGGACATCCTGTATTTACAATA